TCACATGCGCACACACATTCACATGCACACACACACTCACATACACACACACATATTCACATGCACACACACTCACATACACACACATATTCACACGCACACACACATACACACACACATTCACACACACACTCACATACACACATATGCACATGCACACACACACTCACACACACACACATTCACATGCACACACACACTCACATACACACACATATTCACACACGCACACACTCACATACACACACACACACAGACACATTCACATGCACATACACTCATACACAAAAATAAAAAAATTAGAAGATTAGAAATAAGGACAAAACAAAGCAAGGAATGAATGAGAAATATGAATTTGGAAAGTGGTTGGTGGAGGAGGAGTGGGTCGAAGAAAGCCTCAGCGTGGAGCAGCTGTTACTAAGATGCTCTCTTAGGGGGTGAGTCCACATGTTGATATTCTTGGTTCACAATCTGCCTGTCTGTTACATCTATGGTTTTTGTATCTATTATTTTTTCCTAGGAAAGGTTTTGAGGTCCAACACAGCACTCTACTCACCAGGATGCATCTCACTGTGTGCACGGCACTCGGGTCTTTATGGTTGGCTGCCCAGTGGAGTGGGATCTTGCCTTCCACGTCAGGAATGCCGATGTTGGAGTCGTGCTTGATGAGCAGCTTTGCGTGCTCGGGGTTGTTGTAGTAGGCACTCCAGTGCAGAGCTGTTTGCTGCAAGGAAGAGGGGAGCTTAAGAAGCCTCATCATCCTACACTTCCAGAACGTCTACTATGTGACAGGCACAGTTTAAGAGTCCTCAGGACTCTCTGGGAGATAAGGACTCCTTAATTTGCATGTGATAGAAGTTAAGCAGTGTGTGGCTGCACTGAGATTTTATACGACTCCAGAAGCTGACCTCCTAACCAGGAGTCTCCTTCATCAAGTGCTGCAAATAACAGGGAGAAGAAAGATGACTTATGAGTAATCACCAGCAAGGTAACCAACGCTCCTGATGCTACACCTCTGAGGAGCACTAAGATTGGAATTAGAATCTTAGACTTTGACAGAAAGATTTAAATTTTGACATTAACCAGAAGGAAAGTACACTACAGGCAACCCATAGATCTAGAATCCTTTAGCATATCAAATTTAATTTTAAGAATAAGTTTACATACTAATAGCTAAATCTAGCTACTGATTTTAAACTTTTCAAACTATACCTGCATTTTGTTTGAAATAAAAGTTTAACGTGGTAATTTTGAACACAGTAAAGTTGCATGAAAACTACTTTGACCACTGCCATGAACATGCTTCTTACAGAGAGAGTCATGGGGCGGGAGTGGGGGGGACAGGAGATGTTTAGATACACATTAGACACTGACTGTCCTTCAGCAACCTAGTCTAGAACTGGACAATTTACTGACAGGAACCAAGCTTGTCAGTCCTAAAATTGAAAGACTAACATCATGATATTTATTCAAAGTATACTTACAGGTATGTATTATATTATGAAATATTATTATTTCATAATATTATTATATTATGAAATATTATTATATTATCATTGTTAATCTGTTATTTTCTAAAAGATTCATTTTATTCTTGTTTACTTCGTGTGCTTGGTGAACTCCAGGCAGTCAGAGGAGCGTGCTGGATCTCCTGAAGCGTGAGTTACCGACTGCTGTGAGCTGCCTCCATGAGTGCTCAGAGCAGAAGCTGGCCCTCTGCATAACTGCTGAGCCATCTCTTTAGCCCTAACCTATTGTTACTTTTACTAATGACTGAAAATCACTACTTAATAGCAATCATTAATTGATTACAACCACCTTCTTAATAAACACAGACAGAGTCTTTACTTCCTTCCTTTTCCTAGGTTAAGGTTATTCAGGGTATATTTACTCAAATATAATATGAGCTTAGCAGTTTGTACTCATATTTTTTACATCTCTTTTATTTTTCTACTTATTTTTGTTGTGGTACAATATACATAAAGTAAAACAGATCACTGAGAGAAATGCCAGCACTCAGATGTTCTGGATAGAAAAATATTAATGCATGCCTGCAAAGCAAAAGCTGATCTTCTGACTCTGCATACTAAAGAAAATCTGAAAAATACAAGAATAGTGTGGAGTAAAACCAAACCAACCAACCAAACAAACAAAAACAGAGAAGGGCTGGAGAGACGACTCAGAAGTTAGGAGTATCTGCTCCCCTTGCAGAAGAGCAGGCCAGTTCCCAGCACCCACATCAGGTGGGTCACAATGACCTGTAATCCAGTTCTAGAGCATCTGACTCTCTGGCCTCCACAGGCACCTGCCTTCACACGGTGCACATAAACTCATGTAGGTATGTGTGTGTGAGGGTGCACAAGCACACACACATACACAAACATGCACATAAACAGCACGTGCATGCACTCGGACACACACATTTAGGAAATCTCTGAAAAACTAAGAGCAGTAAGCATAATTATCATAAGGATTTTAACTACATGAGGGCATTGGTGTTAACAAGACTACGGCCCATCTGCAGTGGAAAGAAAAGGATTATTGCTTGTTTCTAACAAGTGACCACAATTCTTTTTTCTGTAAAGAAAGATCAGCAAAACTATGAGCTGTGCAAGCAATTATTAAAATCTAAGAGCAAGGAAAGTTAAAAAAACTTTTAGCAAGAAGTGAGAGGGCAGATGTCAGAACTGAAATGCAATTAATAGTTGCTCTGTGGCTAACACTTGTGGGAGTGTATCCTGCATGAGACACTGTGTTAAGGATTTTGCATTACCTTGTTTTACCTTCAGTTACCTTTTTCATGTATTCTAAAATTATGACATAAATGAATTAAGTAATTTCCCCCAAGAACACAGACTGAGTAAGCAGTGGTTTTTTGATTAAAGTTCAAGGAGGCTGCTGCTGACAGCCCAGCCATCAAAGCCATTTCCTGTTTAATGCACTGCACAGGCAGACGGCCACTGTGGGTCCAGCTGCCCACATGCTTAGTGGATCGCATGGGCAGATGGTACTGAGTCTGGGTGATGCTTAGTGCATTGCATGGACAGACAGCCACCATGAGGTCAGGTGCCCACATGCTTTGCACAGGCAGACAGCCACCAGGAGTCCAAGTGTAGACATACTTAGTGCATTGCACAGGCAGATGGCTACCTTGAGTCTAGGTGACCACATGCTTAATGCATTGCACTAGGCAGATAGTCATCATGAGTCCAGGTGCCCACAGGGACTGTCATGAGTCTCTGACAAATGTTGACTTTTACAGTTAAACAGGCCAGGGTTTGAATTCTTGTTCTGCCATTTAGATCTTAGGCAAGCTTTAATCCCCCTGACAGTCAGATTCCCCAGCCATTAAAGGAGATGATACTACTAATCACGTGGTGGCTAGCAGGGTAATATGTGGAGTTGCCCTCCTACAGGGACAGTGGCAATGCACACCTTCTTTCCCAAGGCCTCACAAAACGAAGTGTTCCCTTTGTTCTCTTACTTGTCTTTGACTGATCATTACCTTGTTTTTGTCCTGTGTATCTACTTCCCCAGGGGCCATAAACTTCAGCAGTAGAGCTAGACACTTGGGGCTCCTGTGCCGGGTGCTCAGGTGCAAAGGCGTCATCTCTTCTAGGTCCTTCTGCATCCAGTTTGCTCTGCGAGTAAGTAAGAGTTTCATAAAGCGATAATTTCCCTAGACGAAAGAAGGAAAAAGAGAGGATGAGGAGAATTTACTTTGTGGCCAGTGAGTAAATACATTTTAAATGTTTTCAGGATTTAAACCACCTTCATAGAGTATACCAAACAGAAAAGTTAGTAAATGGAAAAAAATGAACATAACTACACTAAGAAAGTGATTGCTTTATGTTTTCCTGTTTCTCTTCATCGCATTTGAACACACATATAACTTACACAGTGGCTGGCCAACATTTATTGGGTTAAGTAACATGTTTTATTTAGCCAGACTATTATTGCTAGGTGTTTAGAATGTTAGTCTAATATTACTGGATATGCAGACACAAAAGCTTTCAATCATAAGTATTTATTATAGAAAATGCTTTAATATACACCGTTTTGTACTCAGCTTTTCTCCTTTATCATAAGATTAAACAACCAGCAGACACATTTGGGGGATAAGTTTGTATATTTTATGGCTCGTGTGTGTTTTTTAGACTGTCCTCTATCATCAATATGTAGGGTATTTATTGGTTGTCAAGAGAGGGTACATTCACTGTAACATACTCTCTATAGGATTCTTTTCACTGCCGTTTCCCTCACAGACTGTATGTTTCAGGGAGCAAGTCTGTGTTTCATTGGCTGCTGTCCCCAGTATAATTCCTAACACAGACTAAGTGCTGAGTAAATGCAA